TAACAGCTCTCTTCCCACTTTTTCCCTGTAATTACCTCTTCCCTGATATAATTGAGATAATTTTTAGAAAATTCATTCTTTCCTATGCATTCCTGCCCCCTGAGCTATCTCCCTGTGCAAATACTGCCCTTCTATTCTCCATGATTGATCATTCTAAGGAGTATATCTACCTGACCTCTCCTGTGACCATGGTCCTGAGCCCACAGGTCCAACAACTCACTCCATCTGGGTGATAAACTGTGGATAAGGTTGGGCTATCTACTTCCGTAGTGATACCTCCTCGGAAACCCAAGGAGGTGTTGCTGTGAGTCGGGGCCGACTGGACGGCACATAACAACAACAACATGAACTTATCATGGCTTTGCCCCCTATTAGTTCTATTTATATGGACATTCTTACAGCACATATAGATACGTGTGTAGAAATATCATCTGCCAACCTTATGTATGGTCATGGGTATATTACCTTTTGCCTAGACATACCTGATCATTCAGACTGCCTATTCATCTATTTACCTGTAGATTAATGTTTGTTATCATTGATAATGCAGTATTGTGTATGTGAAAGCATTTACATATACAAAAACAAAAGTTTATTTGTTTATGTTGTCATAGTTGCCTTGTGTAGGTACTTTATACACAAGTCTAATAAAACCCTGTTATGGGTTTCTTCCCTGTCATATATTAGTCATCTCTGTTCTTTTTATACCTTTAATTCCAACCATACCTTATAAATGCAATGAGAAATAAGTGAACAGGGTATGGATTCTTCAGCTAGCAGTCTTCTGATACAGAAAAATGCATGGTCAGCCTAATGAAGTTAGACTAAGATCTGTAAATATAAAGTACAACATGATCATTGTTAAAATTATGCTATGTAAATAGCCATCTTCACTATTTGTGAAGGCGTGACATCATTGGGATGTGGCCCCCAAAGTGACCAGAGTACCCTGCCTTCTCCAGGTCACCTCTCTAGCTGACATTCCTTACAGTGGTGGATGAATCAAGGTCCAGGGTCTCACCTTCAAGCTACCTGCAGAAACCCGATTTTTCTCCAAATAAAGTAAATTCTTCTCCCAGGATGGATGGATATTAGCCAAGTAAATGAAAATGTATACAAATCAGAATACCAATATTAATTTACCACAAGAACTCATTTTCAAAGGATAGGAATAAATAAAGTCTACATCACAAGAACATTTTTTCCTCATAGACACACAGTATCATTGTCAGAAAATTGTTTACTGAACGTGAACTCAAGTATTGCTATCTGAATACGTCATCTGTTGGCCAACACTCCTGCATTCACATCTGCATTAGGAGATGTAGACTTCTTATTCCTTTCTTTTGCCAGATTGTCATGCATCTGCAGTGTATAGGTGTCTGTGTGAAGTGTGAGGAACAAAATGTGAATAAAAGCAGACGCAGTCCCTGCCCTGGGGAGCTTATATTTTAGGGATATCACAGACACTAATCAAATAATCATTCAAAGAAATATAAAATTGTAGCTGTGGTACATGACCCAGAAGTGGCCTGTGAACCGGCCTACTTGTCTTTTCAGTGCTGCTGAGAGGACAAGGAATAACAAGAATACAGGGTAACCACTGTTTATTGCATGTTTATTGTGTGCAAGGTACTTTATAAATTTTATCTCATTGAATCCTGCCACAACTCTGTAAGGGAGAAGCTTTAACCGTTTATTTTTTTTTTAAGTGATAAGGAAACTGAGGCATTGACAAATGAAATAACTGCTCCAGCTCTCAAGATCACAAGCAAAGATTTGAAAATGGTCTGACTTCCAAGCCCTTTACTGTCTGAAAAATTATGAGGATTGATATGAAATAGTCAAGTGAATTTAGACAAGTGGAGGCTGTTTGCTATAAGGCAGAGAGGTCTACACAATGATAAGGGGTCAAAGCAAGTTTACAGTGGACTGAGGAGCAGTGGGAAGATGAGGAAATGGAGGCAGAAAGCCTGCACAACTCTTCTGAGAAGCTCGACTATGAAGGGGAGATGTCTGAAATGGAAGTCGGGGTCTTTTGGCTGAAGAACCCCTTTTCTTGTTTATATTTTTTTCTGGACTTCCCTCTGATTAAACCTCCTTCTGGTGAACACTTTTCTTTAGTTAATATATATATTTTCTCCTATTAAAGTTTACTGTTGCTATTTACTTTTTTGTCTAATTAAGGCATCCTTTTCCATAATGCATGAAGTGATCAAGTTCTTAATAGGGTAAATATATGTATTTTTTTGTTACACTATCTTTTACATTTAGGACTCTTGTTTCTTTCAAAACTATTTATTTCTAAATTTACATACCTCTAGCATAATATGTTTTTATACGGTAATATCTAGTGTACATTAAATAAATGTTTTGGTGGTAATGGATAATCACAAATACCATGGTTATATTCCAAAATATAGTTAGATTAATGCACCCACTCCTTGCTTATCTACATGATTAGGTTCCAAAGACCAGATTCTTAAGCAAAAATTGACATTGTGCGGAAATGGAGGATTATACCTCATTACATAACTGCCAATTTCATCGTTTCTTGACTGCTAAACCTCTAAGTCATGGTCCAACCAAGTTAACACATTACCTTAAAATCACAGCCAGCGTTACTCTTGCCTCATACCTTGGTGTTCATTACTATCAGACATGTGTCGTTAATGCATGAAATAGTCCCATGGTAGATTTTTAGACTGTTGTCATAGATGCAAAATGTCAGAGAATGAGATGGTTGGTAAGTGAGGAATAGGTATATTCAGTTTCTGTATTGATATCTGTAGTCTTCTTAGAATTGAACTTTTTCTGTTTGTAGGCTGACATTGCACCATTGATGGCTTCCCTTATTGGAGTTCCCTTTCCTCTTAATTCAGTGGTAAGGAAGAAAATTTTATCATCACAAACAATATTGCACAATAAAAGTTATGCTTTAATATGTATTTGTTTCTGTGTAATCATGATTACAAATAGAACTGTATTTTCCTGTGTGGTCCTCTCTAAATATGCAAATTTCATAATTGTGACTATATCGTAATCTAAAACATGGCATGTAAACCTAATTACATTTCTCTGAAACGTTTTATTTTCTAAAATAGGGTGTAGATATGTGTCTTTGTAGTCTAACTACAGTGATGAAATGTATAAATAATTTTTTGATTGCCAGCAGCAGAAACTTAGTCCATTTAAAGGAATTTATTGAAAAGATATTGGTAATTTGCCAAATCAGAGAGGTACTCAAAAACCAGGCTTGGAAATGGGCGGGAACCAAGAGGCCCCTGGAGGAGACAAAATGACACTAGAATAAAGCAGCCATACACTTACTTCTGTTTCTGTTTCTTGCTTTGCAAGAGTCAGATTTTGGGCTGTGGCCATGTGGGTGGCCCAACCTGCGATATTATCTGCCCTTCATGAGGGAGAGTAGAGTTGCTATAACAGACCCACCGTGTTATATCCAGTAGGGAAGATTTCCCAATAGGAAGTGTCAAGAATGGAAAGTGTATGCTGAAAAGCCAAAAAAGAAACTAACAAAAAATATCTAAGCCAATCAGCCTCTATTAGCTCTGTAACATCAGAGTTACTGGCTAATCATCTACCTCAAAAACTCCAAGTACATATGAAAGGAACTATTCTTGACTGCTAACCAGAAGGCTGGCTGTTCAAACCCACCAGCCACTCCTCAGAAGGTTGGGCAGTCTACTTCCATAGAGATACTGCCTCAGAAACCCAAGGAGGGGCTGCTATAAGTTGCATCTGACTCTATGACAGTGAGTTTGT